AATTTAATTTACAGTCATTAGATTTCAACGGACACCTTTGTATAATATACTTACTTTAAAAAGGACTTTTAATTTTACCGGTTTAGAAAACATACGAATCATTTATAATGGCTATGGGTGTAGTAACATTCAGCCAAAGACTGATCGAAGTTGTTTATATAACATAAAAACAAATCTATTTTGTAAAGCTCGATAAAATAAATCATTATTTTATTACACTGTGGTATTAATATCCACCACTATATTATCATTTTCACTAGATGCAAATGTGCTCTGACAATTATTATAGATGGTAGGCGACATCATAAAGTCTATTGCCACACATTTTTCGCCAAACACCTCCATAAACACATTATAATCTGTATATATGTTAGACTTTAAGGTATCTATCTATGGGCCTACGTTCCCTGACTATAAATAATTAAATAAATAAAATTATAAGGTTTGAGTGTGATAGACTAAAAATCTAAAATATGGTTATCTTAAAAACATAACAAAAATAATGAAGCTACTGAATATTCGGCTATAGAACCTAAATCTCTTAGCTTTCTTCGGTTAACTAGAGTATAAAAATTCTCTCTAATCTGTGGCTCATTCACAATCATCACACAGTTTCTGTCACAGAGTATCGTATTATAACCGGAAATGACACCTGATTTTAAAAGTTACTCTTATGCATTAACTTTAAAAACAGGCAACTATCTGTTAATCTACATGCTCTATATACCTGAATCTAATCCATAATTTCGGTACTTGGTTTGAATTTCCTAGTTTACTATATAACTTATTTGTTTTTTATTATTTTAATATGTTCAGTGTATATGGTTTATAGAAGTTCTCAGGGGTGTCCGTCAAGAATATTCGTTTCTACAATAATTTATATATAATTTCGAATCTAGGAAATAATTTTTCATGATTATTGGTCTTTAGGCCAAACATGTATGGAAGCTGAGCAATCTCCTTTAGCATGCAGGTAGATGTTATGACGTAGGCATCCGCTAAGAAATGATTTTGATCAATTCTACCCCCAAGGGGATAAAATAGGGAATGAAATAGATGAATGTCATTGTGTATAATACAAGCCTGAGAACAAAAACTGTAGTCTACACTTCAGCTCTACACCGAAGCGAAGCAAGGGCGGGCCGCTAGTAGCTGTATTTAACTTCTATATATATCTATATAGAGCTATTTAATCGAAATAACTAACAAAAATGACTGCTTGATCTCTATGATATAGAAACAACAGCAGCCATTTTAATCAGCTCAGTAGTATCCAGTGCTGAGAGATTCGAATGGTCGGAGACCAGCCGGCCTATTCACAAACTTTTTTGACATTTACAGTGTGCAACTAAGAGAAAATATACATATTCATCGATGCTGTTCAAATAAGTTTCTTAGTGTCATTATAATAAAGCAGTAGTGGATCACTAAATAGCTCTTTGATTATTATTTCCATCTGCCAAAAGCAGTTAGCGAATAAGGTCTACTGAACTTTTCCGATAAGCTTGATACTTTGGCACTACGTCGGGATATAGCTTCGCTCTGAATCCTCTACCGCAGCTATACTCTAAGTGTGTTCCGCGGAACCCTAGGGTTCCGTGATACCTCTGTCGGGGTTCCGCAAGAATTTAGAAATAAAAAAATCAAAACACCTCTCTCTGGTCGCTCCGCGGCTGTGCGGACTCCGCGGCCGCGCGGAGACAAAACGCTATGAATGTTATTTATTTATTTATTTGTATTTGTATAAGCTTGTGTTACATTAGCTGGTACAATATCTCATAAGTTTGGTCTCAACAATTTTATACTTGTACAACGCGTTCGCTCTAAGTTTGCCGGTCTGTGGAATGCGCGTACCCTCCCCCACGTGACAACAAAACTTATAATGTGTCATAGTTTTACCCAAATATCTAACGTACACAATTTTTATTGTTACAATTAAATAAAAAATTTCGAACGTCATACACTCATACCTATCGCCAGCGGCAAACTTAAAACGAGCGGGTAGGTATACTTGTAAGCGCTCAGTCTCTTTGATAAAAGCCGCCTCTGAATTAGACGCTATAGTTGTCAACTAGCGACTTTCGTCTCTAACTTCAAAGGATAAAGTCGATATTGTTTACAACGCTATTTTTAAATTTCTGTTTTTATTTTTGCTTTTTGTTTATCAAAGGTGCCGACTCGAGTATTTTCGAGAATATTTGAGATCGAGTCTAGGACTAAGTATAAAAGCGGCGATCGCGCGTTGGCGTCGTCAGTTGATGATTAGCGTTCGGAGCGATAAGTTACTACCTACTTACAAGCTCGCTAGCGAGAAACTGGTGTTCATTGTTTTACTGCCTGCTGTATTCTGTTGTCTCAGTTTTATACATTTCTTCCCTGTAGGTTCTAAATTTAGTCTCTTATACGCAGTAACGATTGTGCATTATTTAAACCCCACTATCCTGACTTGTAACATTATAAATAAAGAAGAATGGAACGTTGGCTTAAAGGTGTTAAACGTGTTCCAACAACATCTTCTAATGACGCTGAATGTTCAAAAGCAATGCGCGCGGAGAATTTAGCAATCACCGATCCAGAAGATGATGCCACGAGTGCCACGACGTCAAGCTCGACGGTTTCAAAGACGAAAAAAAGGAAGTATGATGAATCTTATATCAGTTTCGGATTTGTTGATTCCAACGGCTCACCTCTCTGCATGCTCTGTAGTAAACTGCTTCCTAATAGTTCCATGGCACCTGCCAAATTGCGTCGACATTTAGAAACCGTACACCCCGAGACTAAAGACAAGAATAAAGAATTTTTTGTTCGCAAAAAAGATCAGTTATTAGAAAGTCAAAAAAATATGATGCATGTAACACAAACTACCAACGAAAAGGCCACGGAGGCATCATACTTAGTTAGCTATCGCATTGCACAAGCAGGTGAAGCGCACACTATCGCTGAGAAATTAATAAAACCATGTGTATTAGACATAACAAAATGTATGCTTGATGAAAAATCTGCAAAGCATCTTTCTACTGTTCCGCTATCAAACGATACTGTTTCACGACGAATCCATGATCTGGCAAGCTACGTCAAACAAGAACTAGTTACACGTCTACAAAATACACGATTCGCTTTGCAAATGGACGAGTCGACTGATGTCGCTGGTTTGGCTATCCTGCTGGTTATTGTGAGATATCCATATAAAAGTTCTTTTGAAGAAGACATGCTTATGTGTTCATCGCTGCTTACAAACACTACCGGGGAAGAAATTTTTAATAAAATAAATATATTTTTTGAAGAACATAATCTCAGTTGGAACAATTGCATTGACATTTGTACAGATGGGGCCAAGGCGATGACAGGTAAAACAGCAGGAGCAGTGTCACGAATGAAAAATAAAGCGCCTAATTGTAGTTCCAGTCATTGTATTCTGCATAGACAAGCACTTGCGATGAAGCAAATGCCGTCTAATCTAAAATTAGTTATGGATGAAGCGGTAAAAATAATTAATTTTATCAAATCACGACCACTACAATCCCGATTGTTCTCATTATTGTGTGAAGATTATGGCAGCAAACATAAAACACTGCTGCTCCATACAGAAGTGCGATGGCTGTCTCGGGGAAAAACTTTAACAAGGCTATTTGAACTTAGAGCCGAGTTACAAATGTTTCTTTCAGCAGATACTTCTTTTAATTTGAAGGACCGTTTGTATGATAAAACTTGGTTGTTCCGATTGTCTTTTATGGCGGATATCTTTCAAAAACTTAACGAATTAAATTTATCATTGCAAGGTAAACAGACAACAGTGTTTCAGGCCTATAATAAAATAACTACTTTTAAAAGAAAATTAGATTTTTGGATCATTTGCATTGGTAAGAAAGAAATAGAAAGTTTTACGTTACTCACTGAGTTTGTTAGCGAAAACGACTCAGAAATGTTTGAAGATAATGTGTTTGAAGAATTGGTCCAATATCTCAGTTCGATGCGCGCATCTTTTGAAAAGTATTTTCCCGAAGAACACAATACAAAAATTAAAGTGAACTCCTGGATTCATAATCCTTTTTTACCCAACTTGGAAAAGCCTGAAAACATGTCAAATGAGATATATGAATCTCTTTTAGAAATGTCATCAGACACAAGTATGGAGTCATTGTTCAAAACGACGCCTCTTAATGATTTTTGGTGCAGAATCCAAGATGAATATGCAATGCTTGGCCAAATGGCTCTGGATATTCTTCTCCCGTTCCCAACTACATATTTGTGCGAAACAGGATACTCTACCTACGCAGCCACGAAAACAAAATATCGCAATAGACTGGACGCCGAAGCTGATATGAGACTCCAACTTTCTTCCATCAAACCTGATATCAAGCAATTGATGAAAAATAAAAAACAGTTTCATACCTCCCACTAGTTAGATTTTTTCTTTTTTAATGTTTTCTATTATTGTCCTTACCAAGTGGTGAAGTAAATAATAATTAGTAACGGATACATTGTACTTTTATTATGCTGATTAATATAGAATACACTTATAAAAATAATTGTTTTATTGTAGGGTTCCATCAAGTATTTTGCTTCCCAAAAGGGTTCCGTCATTTAAAAAGTTTGAGAACCACTGCTCTACCGTATTTATCACCCGGAGTGTTCTGAGGAACTGTTCGGATTAATTCCAGCTGCTGTTTGTCGCCATGATACATCGCGACAAAATTTTCATCGCCATCTTGATGTGTCTGCAATCGGCTATCCACAACTGTGCGATTTTGTTGATATATTTTAACCACGTACGACAAAACTGTGGAATAATTTGTCGCCAGCAGTGTTTCCGAACCAATACGACCAGAAACCCCCTTCCTTAAAGGCCGCCATCGTAATTGTGATACTCCTGTTGTTGCAGATGTCTATAGGCGACGGTGATCACTTAGAGCCGTGTGCTCGTATGCCTCTATAATAATAAATAAACTCATTTTGAAACATTTTTATATAAAAAGGTCTGACAAATGGCTCCAACCCACCTGTTGTTAAGTGACGATAGAGTGCAGATGCGAAGATAGCTGTAGATAGCAGCTGTTTAACTGCCACACACACCAGCACCAGCAGCAAATCAGCTATCCTCGCCTTGCTGGCCGGCACTGTGCTTCTTCACGCCCCTTAAAGGATCCTGAGTTGCATGAGGGAGGGACATGTGAACGGGTAAAGCATTCCATTTGTGGATAGTGCGACAAAAAAATGAGTGACATGAAATAATTATAGGTATATTTTATTTATATTAATAAAATTTTACTATACCTTTACCAAATTTCATTTTAATCGGGTCAGCGGTTTAAGCGTGAAGAGATAACAGACGCATTTTTGTATTTATAATATTATATTATTAGTATTTAAATGAATTACTATGGATGGTGTCTTCTTCTTACAAAATACGAGTATGTATGTATGTCGAATGTTTGTCGCAACAATCCAAAAACTTTGAACTCTACGTTCGCATCATTTACAAGGATCGACCTACAAATAGTGATCGATCGGTACTTACTGACTTGATCTGTTTAAAGCCGATTCGTATTTTCCGATCCCATGTGTAAATGGAATGTGGGCCTTATAACCCACTAGGCATGCTTTTATTAAAACAACTTTGTATTTTGAATGGTTCGAGCACAAAAAGTACACTATTTTTACGGATTACCGATGAACCTGACAATAGGCTAGTTTACTCATGTCGAATTGTATTAAATAAATGTTTATTTCTTAAAGTATTTAGTCTAAGGAACCTTAATATATCGATTTCACTTAATAAAAACAGAAGATTGCTGTAGAAATTTAATTTTAAAAAATATGTTTTAGTCTATATTTTTTAAACTCTAAAAACGCTGTTCGCCACATCCGCCATGATTTTGACGTCTCTTGTGGTAAACAACTAAATGTCATTCGCGTGTTACTGTAGGTGGATTCTTTTGTCTGACTAAATTTATCTTAAAACACTTTTAACTTTAGGAAAGAAAAAAACAGTAAACTTAGTTTTTTTTTGACAAAACTAATTAAGGATGCCGGCTTTGTGAAAGCAGAAAGCACAAATCTGCCAAGAATTGACGCATTGATGGTTGGTGAATTTGTTGCACTAAACCCCGATTTCTGCTCTGCAGAGCAGAGAAAGGACAAGGCATCTATGTAAGTACAGTGCATTTAGTATTACAATGTAGTAATAAACATAAAACTGATACAACATATGAATAAGTGTAATAAAGTTGCGTAGGTTAATTTCTTTCGGCACTTTAATCCACAACTTTCCTGGAGTCTTCAAGGATGTGTTTTTATATTCTCGTACAATACAGTAATGATAATTACTTTATTTTTCGTGGTATTTATTAGAAATCATGATTTTTTTTTATAAACTCAGTTAAAAGGATTTTCTACGTGTTTACGAGTTTTTGTTTACCACAGTTCACGTCATAGCATAGATAATCTATAGACTAAAATGGACGACAGCGTTTTTGTATGTCCATGAAAAGTCTGTTTTAAAATTAAAGATTTGTAGCTTTCTAGGTTTAAAAAAAATACAATACATTTTTTTTCGGTCTAATAGAACATTTATTAACCATTTAAGACCTTTTTCCAAAAAGGGTCAACTAGCCTATTATTCATGGTTTACCAACTTTTTGGTGGCTTTTCTCTTCAAATTATTTAGCGCAATAAATACCTAGTCGAAGCTTCGTCACACAAGTGTGGGAGAGGCATAATTCAGTATTGTAACCACGAAAACTTGTTAAATTTCTGTGTTATTCGACGGTATCGCAACTACAGCCGTCGCCGTCGCCGTTGCCACCTTTCGGCGGCAGTAGTCGACGCGGTCAACGGCAGCCATCGACCTATCCCGTCGACGTGGCGACGACCGCCACCGACAAGTCATCAGCCACCACGTCGGTGGCTGGTCGACGGCTGCTATCAGCTGGTTGACGACTGCTGTCGGAGGGTTGACGGACTGCTGCTGTCGACAAGTTGACGGCTGACGGCTCGTCTGCGGTGTCACAAGCATGAAATAAACACTGCTAAGAACGGAATAATTAAACTGGATCTAGTCATACAAAACGTCTTATTCATAAAAATCTTAATAAATGTAAATAATCTAACGAAAACCATCCTCAATTAAGAAAAGAGATAAATACAAAAACATATATGTGCATTATGTCAAGTATAAATAAAAGTTACATTTTAAAACTTATAAAGCGCTTGCATTTAGATGATGAATATGATTATTGCCATTATATCAAGCATTCATCAAGTATAATTCAACTTATTGATGGACTAGAAGAACCAAAATTTGAAGATTTTAACAGTAATGATTTTTGTGTGATTCTAGTAGGTTAACATGATTTTCACCAACAAGAGGATTTTCATGATCTGATAGGCAATATAAGAAAAGTCCCAAGTTCAATTTTCACACAAATATCATAATAGTACCTCCCACTTATATATGTGGTTCTCCTATATTCAATTATAAAGTAGAAACGTTCAATAATCTTCTGTACAATAATATCAATAAACATAATTACGTCTACAGCTTTGATACGAATGAGGATCTGACGTTTGATATGTTTACACTTCGTACCGGTAAAATTAATTAATTTGGCATGGAAACAATATTAAAAAAGTGTACGCAGTATAAATTATGATATAGATAATAATCCTCATCATTTTCATAAATAATAATATTGAAATACTTTCTAAATCAAGAATCTTTTAACAATTTGAATGGTTTGTATAAAATTCTAAATCACATATTTGTCAAATTTGTTAACTAAAGGAATTGCTAAAATTTTTATGAAAAAACGCCAATTATATCTTAATTATCGTATTATTAATTATCGTAAGGATCGTAATAAATTCCAATACTCTCTATGAAAAATATGCACGTGTTCTAAAAAAAAGTCACATAAATACATAACTAAAATTTTATTAACAAATTTGATAATAAATGTTATTTCCGAATTATTTAATCGATATTTTGTAGAGAATGTGTCACAAAATAGCTCACGAAACTTTTATTACATTAACAATATAGAGCCAATAGTTCAATCAATATTTGTAAATCCGGTAACGGAAGCGGAATTCATTGAAACTGTTCAATCACTCAAGAATTCTAAATCTGTTGATATTGATGGAATTTGAAAATGAGTTGTGAAAATGAGCTTAGACTCTGTTGCAAACCCCTTTTCATTTGTTATAAATAAGTTGTTATGGGAAGGCACTTTTCCCGATATTAAAAAAAAACAATAGTTAAACCACTTTATAAAAGAGGTAGCAAGATATTGCTGTGTAATTATAGGCCGAGAAAAATAATCCCAATTTTTTCTACGGATAAACTTATGTATCGCAGATTAATCTGGTTTTAAGATTCGCATAGTGTAATAACCGAAGAACAAAATGGATTTAGGAAAAATAGAAGCACATCTTTAGGTTTGTTTAAATTGCCAAAGAGCACACAGCACTTTTCCTAGATGTGTTAAAAGCATTCGATTTTATCTGTCATGATCGTCAGCTGGACAAGCTTTGCAAGTACGATATACGGGGACCTTGTTACAACTGGATCAAAAGTTATTTGTCGCAGAGAGAACAGTGTGTAGAAATTCAGAGGTGCTACCCCGAAACTAAATGTTTGGAAAAGAATAGATCTTCTATTTTTATATTAATATAAATAATCTATATTAAATTTATTAAAATTTGAAGTACCTTAGGGCAGTATTCTGGGTCCGCTTTCGTTTCTTCTGTACATGAATAATCAATCTCAGTCTATACTTGAAAAATGCATCTTGTTTGCAGATGATACCACAATTGTTTTAAAGGTGTTGAAGGTACACAATCATCCGAAATTAATATTAATGCAACACTTCTTTGGATTATTGAATGGCTAGAATGTAATAATTTTAAAATGAACATTGCAAAAACTAAATATATGCAATTTGGAACATATAAGAGAAAACACCAAAAACTCAATAAATAAATAAATGAATCAGTGAAATGTATTATTTTTTTTAGGAATAACAGTGGATTGCTTTTGTGATTGGAAAGATCATAGAAATCTGATGTGTATCAATTTAAATAGATTAGTAATTGCCTTTAGTCGTATCAGCCAAATAGTGTCAAAGGAGACGGCTATCACTGCCTACAATGGATATATTAATTCAATACTGCGCTACGGAGTTATGATTTGGGGCCATCGGTTGATCGTGATCGAGGCATTAATAATACAAAAGAAATGTATTCGAGCCATATTTGGATTGCGACAGATTGATTCATGTCAAACCATCATCATCACCATATTTCAGAGATTATATAAATTCTTACGTTGCCTTGTTTATATATTTTTGACACTTGTTTGTTTGTTCATTATAACGAAAATTTCTTTCATAAAAAAGCCAAGTATCTCATCGTAATCTTCGTTTTATGTATAATAATAAACTTTACTATCCCGCTACAAAATTAACAGTTGTGTCAAATAATTCCTTTACAATGTGCATTAAAATATATAATAAATTACCAGATCAAATTAGAACTTTAAAATTTGCAATTTTAAATCCTCTGTTAAACAATGACTTGTGGATAAATGTTTTTATAGCATACAAGAATACTGAAATTATAAATAGCTGTAAGATTATGACAGATAAGATAAATTTGTTGATTTTATGTAGACCTTATGTAAATTTTATTTTGTGTATACACCTGTAAAGGTGAGAGATAAACCTATTGTACCTAAGCATTAAGATCTAAATTGAAATGAAGTAACGTTTCTATTCAGTACCCTTAGCACGAACCATTATCGAATTCGAATAGTTTGCTAGTCCGAAATGTCATTGTCAAATGTGTACTGATTTCTAGTTCTCGTTACGCACTTTGTGGCGTTGCTGTTCAAGTTTCCATACAAAATTTGACATTGACATTTTGCACTCGCAAACGTTACGGATTCGATAAAAGATCGTGCTAGGGGTACAGTACCCTTAGCACGAACCAATATCGAATTCGTAACGTTTGCGAGTCCGAAATGTCATTGTCAAATGTGTACTGATTTTTAGTTCTCGTTACGTACTTTGTGGTACTGCTGTTCAAGTTTCCATACAAAATTTGATATTGACATTTAGCACTTGCAAGCTATTCGAATTCGATAATGGTTCGTGCTAGGGGTACAGTACTCTTAGCACGAACTAATATCGAATTCGAATAGTTAAATTCGATCTCGATACGCGACAAATGTCAAGAAGTTTTGTATGGAAGATTTATAATACCTGTTACGAAACTGCTTTGAAAACAAATGCAATATTGGTTTGTGCGTCCTCAGGGTACAATAGTAATACCTATAAAAAGAGATTAATATATCGACGTTGTTTGACTGCAGTGTATCGTGTGTAGGATAATCCCTCAAAATAATGCTCCAATTTCAGCGGGAAAACAACTGTTCCCTACGGCTCTTAATTAATTATCACATCAGTGGTTTAGTTGTTGTGCACGGCACGGAAAGGACGCATTAGGGGTCAAAAAGTAAGCCTATTTTGTAGCCGTCATTACTTGCAGCTAAAAATAGCCAATATAGACTCGGGAACTTAACGTAATAAAATAAATGATAAAAACAAAAATAAAATCTGGGTCCAATTTCATAAAAGTAATACAGCGGTATTTTTTACTTTACTGCAATAAATTCAAAGAAATACTTTTTAAAAAAAATCCACTGTCTAAATAATGATGCTACACTAGCTGCGTAATTTACTGTAGTAAGGACCGCAGTATTTACCACTCTTTTATGAAATGTCATCGCCCAGGCAACACGAATTTTGAGACTGCGTTCTGTGTACCAGCTTTTGATTTCTTTTAAGTAGGTGCCTAATTTATGTATAAAACTATATTTTTATTTAAAGTTTTATCAGACACATATGACACGGAGCCTTTAAATAACCAAAAGGTCCATGAAGAATAATAATACATAATTCCAGATATTATCTACTTACATTTATAATGCTAGTAGCTAGAAAAATTGGGTATATCTTGTATAAAGTGCAACTATTTTTCCAACTATGTTGAGTGACATACCATCATATCACATTTCAGGAATTATTCTTACAAGTTCATCAAAAAATTTATGTAGCTTGTGGCAAAAGTAGTTATCTATTCAATTGATTAAAGATTCGCTGAACATGTAAACGTTTTATAACAAAATAAATTATCTCTGCGTGTGATCTCTGACAACCGCATGATGCAGAATACAATCGAAATGTATTTGTAGCTAATAATGGAAGTTATGAGACCTAAGTAAGTTCCAAAGTAAGTACGAGTACAATGGAACCCAAAACTTAAGTTATCAAACAATAGAAACAACAATAGTAAATTTTCATAAATAGAATGGGTGAAGTTATATTCGCTTACGAAAATTATATTGAACGACC